TTAAATAGATCCATAATTTCTTTATGATCATCATCTTCCCTCTCTGGTTAATTACTCTCTAGATCCTTTAATTTATGCCTCAATAATTAATTACTACTACATACCATCAACTTTCTCTGAATCAATCTCTCCATCTCTTCCTCTTCTCCTAAAATGGCGTTCTCCCATGAGCCCAACCATATGCTTCTTGATTAATCTGTCCACCATTTCCCACCAAGTTTGGCGCCAAATTATTATAAACAGGCAACCCTCCACTTTCCCCTATCCCACCTTGGTGATGTCCGCCGCGCCCACCGTCGCTACTTCCACCCATCCCCGGGGGAGAGCCACTTCCACCAACCTGTCCCTGAGCTGCACCCGCACCAGATTCCTCCTCCTCTTCCAAAGGCAATCTCTCATAAGTCGCATTAGAAAAAGTTGCAGCAATCACCATCACCATCCCTGACGCCACCAGTTGTCCGACCACGCTTCCGCCCACAACCTGTCCCTGTCCTCCAGCGAGGTATATAGTCAAACCGGAGCTGGACCCCGGCAGAACTTGCCCAGGCAAAAACGCACCGGTTAAGGACAGAATCTCAAACCTGCCATGTAAAGCCATTACAGCAGAAGGTGTTGCAGAGGGCTGACGGAGAGTGACGTTTGTGACGGCGCCGCTGCCGCTAAGCACGCAGATTCCTCTCTGCCGTCTTCTGGCGAAGTGGGCCAGGGCTTCGGCTACGTCGGAGCCGCTGTTGATCTCCAAAACATGGCTTCGGAGGGCGTTAGGGCTGTCTCTGGTGACGAAAATGGGAGGTTTAGGTTTGTTTTTGGAGCCCGGCGGCCGGCCTCGAGGACGCCGGGTGGCTACATCGATGGCGCCTTCTTTAGGATCGTCACTGTGGTCTCTTTCGTCTTCTTCTTCGTGATGAGCCCCTCCGCTGACGCCGCGGGTTTCGTGGTTGTTGGTGGTCATGGATATGCCCAGATCTGGTTTTTTCATCGGAGAAGATGTGGTTGCCGACGTGTCGAGCCCAGGTAGACCCATCTGCCCACCCCACCACCGATTCGCCATGACTTAAAAACAGTAAAAAACTTTGCGTCCCCTGGTGATAATTAATCAACTCTTGTTTAGATCTTTACTATGTTTATCTCTAGCTCGATCACTCAATTTCTCACATGAAGTCTACAAGAGTGGATGCTTAGGGTGAAGAAGAAGAAGCAAGTTATCTCTCTCTCTCTCTCTCTCTCTCAATATATATATATATATATATATATATAATATTGTAAGATTGATCTGATCAGCTGAGACAATAAAGAGGGAGAAGCTGCAAGAGGCAGTGATCTTTACAAAAGTTGGAAGCTAGCTACCTGCTAGAAAGAGGAAAAGATAAAGAACTGATAAGCAACTGAAATCTCCATAGGACCATATATATATATATATTATGTGAAGTGTAAAGAGGGGAGAAGGGAAGGAAGGTATAAGCTATGAAGCAGAGAGAAGAGAGAAGCGTTTTTAAACTAAAAATAAATAAAAATGAAGGGTTAAAGGCAGCATGAATTCTCTTCGAGTGCGTTGGTGGGTTGTGTATGGCTTCTGGTTTATGCGTTCTGATTCAATGGCTTAGGGAGGAGTGATGGTATAACCTTCTTTCTTTCTTTATATAATGTATATATACACACACACACACACGCGTATATATATATATATATATATTAAAGTGAAATGAGGAGAGGGTGAATAGAAATTAGGGTTTTATTGGATGGTGGAGGATGTAATAATACGAAGGTGGGGTGCACGTCCTTCTCTCGGATCCGACATATA